TTACGTTGGTGGTTTCTCAGTATGAAAAACAGAACACCCTGCATTACACTGTCCGGGTGAGTAAGCCGCCTGGCGCGCCCGGCGGGGCCGTGCGGTCCGAGGCGGGCTCTGCTCTGTCGGTGGGACTGCCTCTGGTTATTTCTGAACCGGATCCCTGTCTGTTGCTGTGTAACAGCTCATTTGTAAATGATGGGGACGCTTCCTACAGAAAACGATGTTTCTCTGAATGACATTCCAGATGAGCATAGTGGTCTTGAGAGCTTGGTCCTAAGGGGATGTATGTTGGACTAGAATTCACAGAGCAAGTGGTGCGACCTCCTTTGTCTGTGAAAACGAGGACTTGGAACCTAGTGGAAGGAACTCAACTGCCTGGAAACATACTGCTCCCGTGAAGCTGGGCTGGTCCTCGTAATTCTGCTCTGCCTAGATTTGTTCGCCCTGCGTCAGTTACAGCAGCTCAGTTTGAAGAGATTTTAGTGATGAAAAGGGCACGAGGGAGCTGCTTTCAGCCTTCGTTCTTCAGAGCAGAAGCCAAGGCCTGGAGAGGGTGTGACTTGTCCCGAGTCACACGGTTGGCATCAAAGAAGCCAGGACAGGAGCCAGGCTGCCAGCAGAACCATGACCTTCCTCTGTGCCAGCTGATTTTGTAGTCTTCCAGAACATTCTCTCATCATGTCAGTGTTTTTATAAGATAAACTTTATCACTGTAATAATTTTTTTTTATTCTAGGTGTACTCAGCATGCAGCTTTACCTTTTCAAAGATTCCCTCACCATACACCGTATCGAAACAGGTGAGAGAAGTTTTCTCTGGGTCATAGTCTCATTGAAATCTTAGCACTCCATTTGCTTTTTCTCCTCTTCCCCCCCTCCCCGCCACATTTAACACTTTCTTGTAAGATAAAGGCATCTGAGGCTGGGCAGGAGTACCAGGGAAGTGTGGGGAGTCTCCAGGCTGGGCCGGATACGAGCCCGTCAGTGGGCAGCACTCGGTGGTGCCGTGGTCGGTGGGGAAGGCCGGGGGTGGATCTCGTCAGGAGGATCTCAGACGGACTGCAGGGTGGGCTCTGTGTGTGGAGGGGGCTGGAGGGCGAACCCCCGGCAGGGAGAACTCGATGGTGGCCTGGCTCCCATGGGGAGGGAGAGGCCCGGCCGCCGTTGGGGGAGGGGATGTGGCCAGAGTGGAGCGCTGCTTTTTAAAAAATTTTTTTTCAGGGTGCAGAGAGATTCTGTCTTCAAAGTAGAATTGGAGAATGTGAAGCTTTGTTAACACAGAACCTTTGTTTTATTAGATCAATGGGAAGTGGAGCGGTCAGACGGCTGGAGGATGTGGCAATTTTCAAGAGACTCACAGAAATAACCCCATTTACCAGTTCCACATAGAAAAGCCTGGGCCATTACTGATTGAGCTGAGAGGACCGAGGTTTGTGACAAGTAACTTCCTTACATGAAGAATGTTACATTAGAATGAGCTTCTCATGGAACAGGGCCGGGTTTTGAAAGAGACATACGTGCATGTGGACACTTGATCTCTCATAAAGATTCGGTATTGCAGGGGAGGGGGGCAGGACACTGTTCAGTAAATGCTGCTGGAATAATTAATATTAGGGGCCACTTCAAATCTAAGTCAGTCCCAGGAGGTTACAATACAGGAGTAATAACCTCAGGGTAAGGAAAGATTTCTGAAGACACAGCACACAAAAAGATTTGTAGATGTCCTACATTAGTGAGAAAAAAGTCTGCAGTTTTGTTTTTGTTTTTTTTTTTGAGGGGAAGGAGAGATAATTAGATTTACTTATTTTTTATTTAATGGAGGGACTTGGGGATTGAACTCATGACCTCGTGCATTGCTAAGCATGTACTCTGCCGCTGAGCTCTGCCCTCCCCACTGCTTTTAAAAAATAAAACCTTGAACAGGTATATCATAAGAGAGAATCCAAATGGTCAATAAACTGACCAACAATTTGAAACAACCCAAAGTTTCATGAGTGGTATTAAGATTATAAAAGTCAGCCAACAGAGGCCACGTAACAGTGGAAATAAGAGCTCCCCGCAGTATGGTGGGTGGGTCTCGGGGGCCAGCAGAATGCACGCTGTGTGACTCCACCTGTGCGAGGCCAAGACGAGGTGCCTGGGGGTGCACGCCTCGGTGCGGGACAGCGGTCGCCCGACGGCTCAGCTCCGGGGCCGCGGGGCACGCAGGACGGGGTGGTGCTGACTAGGGTGTTTGTTCTCTTCACAGGTTACTTGTTAAGTCACATAGTTGCTTGATGTACATTGTGTTCTATTTCACAATTTTAAAAGGTTTCAAAAATACAGAGAATAGAGGTAAAAATACTACTAGCTTCCAGATAAAACTAGGCTTAAAAGAAACTAATAATCCTTTCGATAAGACTGAGCTATTTTTCCGCAGTCCTTTAAAACCCTTTGCCACTTTGATAGGTGAAATATGGTACCTGATTGCCCTTCTGTATGTAATTTCTAGGTAGATTGACCAGGTGAAACTGTTGACAGTGTGGATTTTTTCCTTTGCTCATATATTTATCTTTTTGCCCATTTTTTCTGTCGAAGTTGTCATTTTTTCTTAATTGTAAGCGTGAGTAAGGGTATGAATGTAAGGGTATTAACTCCTTCACATATTTGCAGGTACTTTTCCTAGATTTTTGTCTCACAGAGAAAAAAAAAGTTTTTTCATTTTAAAGCAATCAGGTCTGTTCTGCTTTATTTTGCTGGGGGCAGGAACTCTCACCCTAATGTCAAATACATTTTCACCAGTTTCTTCTAGTACCTTTATAGTTTTATCTTTTACCTTACTTTTTAAATCCACATGAACTGTATTTGATATTTGGTGTGAAATGCAGTTTGAGAAGCAGCAGCAGTGACTCCGCTCTCCCTCTGCCAGGCAGTACAGCGTTGGGTTTGAAGTCGTAGCAGTTTCTGTGGCGGGAGACCCTGGGCCCCACGGCTTCCAGAGGAAATCCAGCGGTGACTACAGGTAAGGCTGGCGTTTGGATCATCTGCTTTATCCTTCAGTGTCCGTGGCGGCGGCTGCTGTAAACCTCGCTCTCATTTTCCCTGAACGTAGGTGTGGGTTTTGCTACCTGGAACTGGAAACGATACCTGCTGGGATCTACAATATCATCCCCAGTACTTTTCTGCCTAAACAAGAAGGACCGTTTTTCTTGGACTTTAACAGTATTGCCCCCATCAGGACAACACAACTTCAGTGATGGAGAAAGCGCAGCAATTTCTGGATTCTGTACTTAAAGCAACATCAGCTCTTCAGATGAGGACACGAATCTCCAGGACACTGAATACAACAGAACAGAATTAAATCTCTGAAACCATGACTGTGGAATCTGGTGCTGAAGTCGGGGTGTTCAGTGAGAACTGTATATAGTCAGCCTGCGTCACTTAGAAGTACCACTGACATGGTTGTGTACACGTGGAGTGAGCCTGCACTTAGGGCCTGAGTGTAGACAGGAGTAGGAGAGGAGGCTCAGCCAGCGCTGGGGGGTGGGGGTGCCCTTGAGAAGAGGGAGCCGAGACCAGGCGAGGAAGTGAGGGACGTAGGCTCCTGGGGTGGCACGGGGCTGGGGACACCCCGAAGTGCTTACATTCTGTTTGTCTTTGGCAGAGAGCATGCTGTACGTTAAACCCGCTTGTGTCGTGACCCCCCCGTGCGTCTTGGGCAACTCATTACCAAATGAATCACGTTCCCGTAAGATTTTACTTCTGCGTTATTTATGACTTTCCGTGTTTATTGTTGCCCAGAGGTTATGAGAGGATTAAAGCTTTAATACTGATTAGCGCTAAGATGCTCATGCTTAAGAGTAAAGGTCGTTGGTGTTAGAGCCCTGCCTCCTACTGACTCACGTAAAGAGGACCGATGACAGCAGCAGTCTGACACATCACAGTTTGGCTTGTATCGTTCCATTGCGCTGTAGCTCTGCTCTGGTGGGAACGGCACTCTAAAGAAGGTGCAGTTGAGAATTTCATACGTGGTATTTGGGCTGCATTTGAAAAACTGCTAAGATACTACTGTCTTGTGTAAATTCCCCATTGTTTACATAAAAATCCATTGGAGTAGAATGATGTTCAAGATTTTAAAGATCTAAAAATTACTGTGGAATTTTTCATCTCTAATTATAAAAACTTCTTATTTTGTATTTCTATTACCTTTAATTGAAATAAAATGTTTATACTTATGGAGACTGCATAGTTTAACCTAGAGAAATTGTTTAAAGGACTTCATGTGGTATGTTCCACTTGAAAGAGAACTCATTATTTGCACTAAAATTTGCTTTTACCAAAAAAAAAAAGTCTGTTCCTTCACATTCAGGATGGTGGTAGACGGTTCTACAGATGAGATTTCACTTTGGTAAATATTTCGTGCTTTCACTTTTAGCATATTTTAGGTGGATTAATTTAATTTCCTATGACTCTTTAAAGAAAAAAATCTGAAGAATGTAAGAGATATATTTATTACAGATATACAATTTGAACCTTTTGTGTTGAAGATCTTGTACATGATGTAAAATAAGACGTGATCCCTGCCCTCCAAAGCCCGGGGCGGAGGCCTGTGTGCACAGCGTGCTGTGTCGCGCTGCTGCGTTCTGTCCGCGGCACAGCTGTGAGCAGAGCTCGAGATGGCCAGGCAAGCGCAAGGGTCATTCTGCCTAGACCCATGTGGAAAGAGGAGAAGAGGATCAACAGGGTCCCCGAGTCACTTACTGAGACTCCCGGGTGCCCCGGCAGGAGACCCACGGCTCCGACATCACAGCCTCGGCTCTGCTCCCTGCCGTGTGTCCGCAGCGCCCGCCAGGGGCCTCCTGGCTCAGGCCTCGGGGGTCAGGGTGAGCTCCTCGGGACCCGGGCCCTTGAGAGCAGTGAGAACCCAGAACACCGTGTCCCGCTGTCCCTCGGGGTCAGAAGGCCGCCTAGGACAGAAGACTTGGGCAGCCTCAGGACGTCATCTGAAGTCACGGAGTGAAGTAGACGTTTTTTTCAAGTCATTTTTATTACACTCGAGGTATTAAGACAAGTACAAAATAACCTTGTAATTAGGAGACCGGATCAGTCATTAAAAAAGGAGAAAGCACGACAGGATGAAGAGATTACAAATGACACGCGTGTGAGCTGCCAGCGGGCAGCTTGGATGGGTGGTTTTGTTTTTTCTTCTCGGGATACTAAGTTTTCTTAACAAAAAAAGGACAAATAAAATACAGCGCTCTAAATATGCGTAACCGTGAAAACGAGAATGCAGTCTTATAACACTGACACCATTAGCATAACAGACGCCATTGCTTCTAAAGAACAGCCTTTGCCGACACATGCCTACCCCTCTCCTAGCTTGCAGGAACCATTTCCTCTAAGAAATGCTAGTGCAGCACAACCCTTAAATAAAGTTTTATTTTTAAAGTTACAGCCTACAGAGAAGTCAACACCTGGTCAGTCTAGACAAGAGCGGCGACCCTCGCGCACGTGCACGTCCAAGTCGGTCAGTCCCCTTGGCTGGTCAGATGAGCTGACGCGGTGGCACCTTCGCTCCCACAGCCACAAGTCCCCTTCTGCCACAGGCCCCCGCTGCCCCTGTCCCCGCCCTGGCATTCACCCGCCCCCACCAAAAGTGCAGCTCACAGTAACCTTTTCTAGAACAGGATTTTAATTCATGTCCCAGCAAACACACTTTTGTTAAAAGCCCCCTCTGAAAACCAGAGGTAATGAACGTGAATTGTGTTCTTGGATCTCTTTTAAGCCTTCGCTGGGTCAAAATGATGTAGTTCTGAGCATCTGAGTTTTGTCTTAGGTTCCTGTTTCCCTCCAGATCCCCTGGGATGGAAAGGAGTGAGCAAGTCCATTTTCCCGAACGAGGCAGGGGGAGGCGGGGAGAGGGAGCCGTTGACCCCAGTGGGCTGAGCTCCCCGACCCCTCTCCTGGCTCGAGGCCCTTCCCGGGAACCAGTTATTGCTTCCGCGACCCTGACAGGTAATGTCCCAGCCCACCTGCCACGACAACTCCGCGGTGAAAAACTCACCAGCCCAGAGCCCTGCCCCAGAAGAGAACTCTTCAGCCCTCAAGGTCACCGAAACTTCACTAGTGCAGTTTAGAGGAAACGCTTAAGATTTGGCATATATTCAAGGATTATTGGCACGACGTTCTCCGTACAGTTTCGTGTATAAATACCGGTGTGTGCGCGCTGGGGCCCGAGCCCCGCACGGGTCAGCCA